AATACTTCTTATCCACCTTGGACTTACTTTCACATCGGTGAGGGTAGCATCAGATTATTCAAGAGTTGTAGAAGTCACTTATTTTGAACATGAATCAGAATTACAAGGGGGTTCTCACATTCATTTCTTCCACCTGTACATTCGGAAATCGTTTCTGCACCAAATTGAAGTTATGGAACGATGCAAGAAGAGCTAATAATGAGTTACAAAGGATTACAAAATATTAAAACATTAACCCCTTAAGGACACGTGACGGAAATATTCCATCATGATTACCTTTTATTCCAGAAGTTGTGTCCTTAAGGGGTTAAACGCTGGAGAGGAAATCTAAGTATGAATCACATGCTTGCCTAAAACAAAACTTGGATTTCTGGATCTCTGTGACGAGACCAATCTTGCCACTGTGCATTGGAGGAGCCTGGTTGCCCGCCTGCTGCCTTTAGACTATGGCCCCATGTTGAAATGCTTGATTTTCCCCTGCGGAGACACGAAAGCCGGGTCATTCGGTGCTGGCCCTGTTTGAGCGGTGATACCCCAGATATCTATACCATGGAGCCCATTCGTATAATGAAAGACTATGGGAAAGACTTTGGGAAAGACTTTGGCTCCATGGCAATTGAACTGTATGTGTGTGCTCTGAGCGCCATTCAGTAATAATGTGCGCTCAGATCTGAGCTATCTGGGGAATGTACCTGTTTTGTGCAATGGCTGCACAGTTATATGTTTTTATGTGTTTTATTGTCTTTTGCTGCCATGTGTTCAATGGAGTTTTGCCTCTGTCCTTGGAGATAATTGGATTACTTCCCAATTATCTCCAGGATAGAAGACTCTGTGGAACTGGTTTTGGGCAGAAAAGCCATGCTTCCTTTGGTCACAAAGGACTACGATCTATCTTTTGAACCACTGGACCAATTTGGTTGATTTTGACATATGTTTGTATGCTGATTCTGAAAATGTTTTATGTGAATGTGATGCATACTTTTCAAGTTATGAATAATGTGGAAAAATTTTATTTCTCTGCTTGTGATAATTACATTACCCATTGTGTAAGGTAATTGTATCACAGGCAGAGGGGAGGATTTTGTGTGGGAGTGTTTATTGGTTGTGTTCCAAAACCCTGTATAAGAACAATAAACCCACAGCTCTGTCTGTTCATTGCTTGACCCTCAACACAGAGCTTTGTCTGGTTCTTGGGGGGATTTACTGTATGCTGTTCCAGTTTGACTGCTAGGAGTGTAAACCTTTTCGGATGGTTTTTCCTATTCGGTTGTTTACAGCATTCGTATGGTTTCCTGATCGGCGGATTGGTGTTCTGCAGTAGCTGTGCCTGTGTCTCTGGAAGGGAAGATCTACTAAATGGCGGTTTAACCCTTTTTTGCCTGGGGGTGCCGTTACAATCTCCATAAAGACTGTCAGGGATATTTACTAAACTGAAAATTGTTAAGAACTCAAACTTTCAATTTTCTGACCAAAGTTAGCTTTGTTTACAGTTTGAATATTTGGCCTAAAAGTTGAAATTCATAGTGCATTCTAATCAATTATTAAACATACTGACTGGCAGAGTTTGAGGAACTCAGTCATGGTCTAGGTTTAGGTGAGTTAAAGATCCCATTTGGGTGGATATGATTCCCTTATTAAAATGAGGGAGACTGGGGGCATGTCTACTAAACAATGAGCAGCCAGACTGCTCACACTAATTTTAAACTAGCGACTGGGCAGCTACTGTCATAGGCATCATGTGGAGACTTAACATTAAATAATGGGTCAGTGTCTATCTACCTGCTCCCTTATTTGGACAGCGGGTAGGAGATCCAAAAATGTAGTGTCTCCCTGCTCCCACATATGGGCGACAGTTAGAAACTTTTTAATAAATGTGGGGACATCCAGTGTCCCCTTCCAACCCTTGGGCAGTGGATGGGGGCAATTTAAAAAAATAGAAAGTGAGTAAAAAAGCCTTTTTTCCACCTCCCCCCCTTCCACACCATATCACCCATGATCTCTGCGTTGAAGGTATTAATGTTAATGAGGAGGGGTGGACATGCTATTGGCACAGGTCCCCCCCAGGTCTTCTGTATGTGATGAGGCCTTTCTCAGAAACTTGTTAGCAATAGGTGCGCTGTTGCAAATTGTTCATTAGAGTGAGCAACTTCTGGCTGTTCATTGTTTATTAGACATGCCCAAACCTGTTGGGTTGGTATTATACTTCTGTTATACTAATAAGGGAGTCTGCTTTTTAATTTTTTTTAAACTAATACTTAACAGAGTTATTTAGTAATGGTAATAAATAGGCTTTTAATTCACATTTTTATTTTGGTCGCCAATCTATTTATCGACCGGCTACTTGTATATCAGCTGGCATTAAATCAAGACAAATTGAAAATATCTCCTAAAAACAGTAGGTAATTATCAACAGCAATGCACTGTCAAATACAAATGATACTGAATTTGTACTACCTAAATTAAAAAGGATAGCCTAATTTGGAATTGGATGATGTGGCTCACCGCCTTCCTAATTGCAATGTTTGGATGACCAGCAACAAACCTTATCGCATTCTAGAACCTAAACAAACATATACCCAGCTTTGGACAATGTAGTTTATACCTTTGGCAGCTTTGATCCAGTGTTGGAAATCTATTGGGCAGTATAATTTAGTGAGTGCATTTAATAGAGAAATTAGTATGAGAATAGAACACTGACTCTCATAGAGAAGCCTTATTTTCTATATATTATTTTAAATGCTCAAATTGCTAATCTGAAACACATTATTATACTCCCGTGCTGTTTGAATAGAATCTGGAGTGGGATTGAAGAAACATCAGATTTTACTTTTTTTCTTTTTCTGATAAGAGTACTTTAGTACTTATTATAGAAAGTGTCAATCACGCAATGCACCACTTTTACAAGTAAAAATGATGATTGGTAAAATATTATTCTGAATGTTCTAGATATAAGAATCACAGAGAGCACTTTGAAGTTCTGTATCGTTTGCATAATGGAATAATAATTTGACTGAGTTTGCTTTACTATTAAAGCTTTTATTTCTAAGAAAAATTTGAGCGCAACTTTTATTTATTTATTAAAAAAAGTGGAAATATGGTAGAATAGCACAATATGATCCATATATACAGACTATAGTCAGTAACACTTGAAGAATGTAAAAAACAAACAAACAAACAAAAAAAAATATATATATAGTTACATAGTTACATAGCTGAAAAGAGACTTGCGTCCATCAAGTTCAGCCTTCCTCACATTTGTTTTTTGCTGTTGATCCAAAAGAAGGCAAAAAAACCCAGTTTGAAGCACAATTTTGCAACAAGCTAGGAAAAAAATTCCTTCTTGACCCCAAAATGGCAGTCAGATTTATCCTTGGATCAAGCGGTTATTACCCTACATTGAAAGATTATATCCTTGAATATTCTGTTCTTGCAAGTATGCATCTAGTAGCCGTTTGAACATCTGTATGGACTCTGATAAAACCACTTGCTCAGGCAGAGAATTCCACATCCTGATAGTTCTTACAGTAAAAAAACCTTTCCTTTGCCTTAGGCGAAATCTTCTTTCTTCCAGTCTAAACGCATGGCCTCGTGTCCTATGTAAAGTCCGGTTTGTGAATAGATTTCCACACAATGGTTTGTATTGGCCCGAATATATTTGTATAATGTTATCATATCCCTTCTCAGGCGACGTTTTTCTAAACTAAATAGGTTTAAATTTGTTAACCTTTCTTCATAGCCGATATGTTCCTTTTATTAATTTTGTAGCCCGCCTCTGCACTTTTTCTAGTGCCATAATATCCTTCTTTAGAACAGGTGCCCAAAATTGCACAGCATATTCAATATGGGGTCTTACCAGTGATTTATAAAGAGGCAAGATTATATTCTTGTCCCGAGAATGAATGCCCTTTTTCATGCATGACAATACCTTACTATATAGTGTGATATAGTTTAGAGAATGTAGCAAAAAGAGGCAGGTATAGAATATCATTCACAAATGTTTGTGAAAATGCAAATATTCCATGATTCCCCCTTTGGAATGTAGTTTTGGTACTGTAGTCCATCAACATATAACAGTGGCAAATATATTAGTGCTAAATGTATTGGAAAATTAAAAATGAAAACTGCCCAGGCTAATATATTTTAGGATATAAAATACATGTTAGAATAAAACCAGAAGTTAAACTGACTACACATTATTTTTCCACTTTAGAGCATTGCACAACGTATGGCACATCTGACAGGTCTGATTTAAGAGGAAATGGTGCATTCTGTTGTGTGACACCATATTATTTTTACATGACTGGTACCCAGTGAGCTTTTTAAAATCTGTTTGGCCACAAGTGACTTAACATTTATTTTCCTTCCCCATTTTTCTGGTTTACACACGTGCAATAATCCCCATGGGTAATTTACATGGAGGTTTTGTACACATGGAGTTAATTTTCTGAGAATTGACATTATGTTGACAGATGATTGAAAGTTTACTACTGGTTGTCAGGAAGCTATAATATAACTGGCACACTAAATATATATATATAAAAAAGTACAATTTCCTTCTTCTCCCCTCCCTCTCATTGCCTTCTCCCCCTCCCTCTCATTTCCTTCTTCTCCCCCCCTCCAATTTCCTTCCTCTCCCCCCCTCAAATTTCCTTCCCTCCCTCCCCTCCTCAAATTTTTCCTCTCCTCCCCTCAAATTTCCTTCCCTCTCCCCTCCCTCAAATTTCCTTCCCTCCCCCTCCCTCAAATTTCCTTCCTCTCCCCTCAAATTTCCTCCCTCCCTCTCCCCCCCACTCACTCAAATTTCCTCCCTCCCTCTCCCCCCCTCAAATTTCCTCCCCTCTCCCCCCCCTCAAATTTCCTTCCTCCCCTCCCCCCCTCAAATTTCTTCCCTCCCTCACTCCCCCCCCTCCAAATTTCCTCCCTCGTTTCCCTCCCCCCTCCCCCCCCACTCACTCAAATTTCCTCCCTGACACCCGGCGGGCACGCGAGGGAACACTCTCTGTGTGCTTCCTCTTCAGCTCCCTCGCGCACCGCGTACTGATGCCGGAGCCGGAAGATGACGTCATCTTCCGTCTCCGGCATCAGTAAGGTGCGCGAGGGAGCTGAAGAGGAAGCACACAGAGAGTGCTCCCTCGCGCGCCGGCCCGCCCGCCGGGTGTCAGCAGGGCCAGCCTCTGGGGGGCCCTGAGGTGACCGGCTGCTGGGCCCCCCAGGAGAAGAGGCTGGCCCTGTGGGTACATACCGGGTCGCAGGGCCCCCTGCGACCCGGTATGTACCCACTGAATGTGGGACCCGGACGACCTGAGCAGTCCGGGCCCCCCAGGACCGCCGGGCCCATGACAACCGTTACGGTTGTCATGCTCTGATGGCGGCCCTGCGTGTATTCATTTTAAACTCATTTGGAGGGCATGTAGCTCTACTTGAAGATTGCTCTATTGTTTTTATTATATTTTTTGTATTTTTTCTTAATTCCTCACATACACATGCTGTTGTTTCCTATATTGAAGGCTATCCCATCAGGACACATCACTTTTATCAGTACAAAATAAAATGTTTGCCTTTGTATATAGTTTTTCTTTCTAATATTGATTTATGCTTAAGGGAACACTTTCATGCACTGACTTCCCATTGAGAGAAATGGCATGTACTACAGAAGTAGAGAGGAAGGAAGCTAGGGGGTGTTGGACACTGAGGTCCCGGGTTTGGAGTAAAACCATAACTCGCAAGTGTCCCTATTTAGGAGGGACAGTCCCTTACTCTCTGTCTTTTCTATCCTAATTGTGGCGGAACCACCGCCTGTTTGTGACTTGCCTTTCTTTATTTTACGTGTGATTCCCCATCCTTTCCTGTTTATTGTGCCCGCTCCCCGTTCAAGAGGTCTTCCACAAAGGGGATTCATTCAGCTCCCGAACGGGGACAACCCCGATACCTCATTTAGAATGTTAGGTTAGAATGTTCACACCTCACAACATAAATGTGAAATCGCAAGGTAATTAATGGGTGCTCTCCCAAGTAGCCACCATTTCGTATCGATGAATTCCGCCCAGGAGGAGCATTCGTATCCAGAAAGGAGACACTTCCCTTGCAGGGTTACACCCATTGTCCTCGCCAGCGGAGACTGGGTGAAGGAAGGTAGCGCTGCAAGGGTCCCTGGGGTTGGTGTGGACACTTCTGGGGCACTGGCTAGTCGGTGCCTACAGGGAAAAAGAGACCATCTCTTTTCCCCTGAGCAGGCTTTTCTGTGCCTGTGAGACAAAGGGATGGTCCCATCTTCCCGTGCCTGGACTCCCAGGCACAGAAGCTCCTGTGAAGAAGACCCCCCTGGCGGCTAGTGTGAAAAACCCTGTGTTTTCAGTGGCAGGCTTTGGGGAAAAAGGGAACCAAGTCCCTTCCCGAGCTATGATCCCAGGGAGGGGGAGGATCTTGGGATGTGACCTTGTATGTCTGTGTTGTACACCCCTTGCACGGGGTTATGCATAAGAGCGTGTGAGGCCAATAAAGCGTTGTTCTACCTCCAGGACTGTGTGTCGTCCAGTTACTGGAGGGGAGGGAAATGGGTCTCCTTGTACTCTAAATGGTTCCTGACCATGGTCCACTACACTAATATCTCTATTTCACAGCAATAATACTCTCATTAATGTGTCTTTAAACTACAATAAATATGTTTAGAAATCAGTCTGTGTATATAGGAAAACATTGTTCTTATTCTAAATTGCATTCTAGCTGCATACATTATTAGAATTTCTAAGAACAGGCCATCCCTGGCTGTACCCCTGACCGTCCCTCTTTCTTCATTTCAAATGTTGGGATGTATGGTAAAATTGTTACAACAGTTTAACGCCTGATGGTAAAACAGTGATTGGACACTTCTACACCATAACAACTTCAATGTGCTAAAGTTTTTCCTTTAGTGTACTTTTACTTACTATTGCTAGCCTGGAGGGTCCATGGCACAATTATAAGGGGTGAATTTCTACCCGTCAGGGCTACATTTTAACTTAACAATGGCTGGTAGGTGACTAAACTCTTTAAACCCTGTATATTACTGTATATTTATACTTTTCAAAATATGTACATAGGTATGCTATTCTGATTATATTGGCCTATACCATTTATGCTGATATTCTAATAAGGAATCTTCTGAATTCAACATATTGAAGAAACAACAAAACTATACCTCTATTGTGGAACTCAACAACCCGATCTTCATCATTTTGAAGATATAACCAATAGAATACCCCAAAGAGCCACATTCCTGAATTGTGCTAACTTGTTACTTTGACGTTGCTTAAAGTCATTGTTCCATGTGGATTCATTTATAAATCTTTAATCAGTCTAGCCTCCAAAATTTTACCAAAGCTCAAACAATTTTAAAGGGCTGGTATGTTGTGTTTTAAGCAAATCTGACTCGCCTTTAAATCTGGCATATAGAGGCTTTGGAACAACCTAATGCCTTTCAGTCCTTGGAGCACTGTCAGATAGACTGTACCCAAACTGCCTTTTACAAGACGGTGCTTTAGAACACTCTCCCATTGTGCATAAAAGTTGTGAATAGTGGATTTATTGAGAATGCTATATTTTGCATGTCCTTAAGTAATACAAAAGTTAAATCTTTGAGCTCAATGAATACCAATTGCTTTCTATATATGAAAAAATAGTTTTGAATTGTAGATTTTCTATATATAAAAGAGAGAAGAGTGTGAAAATGTCTTAAGGTTCAATATTGTCTTAAAAATGTCTTACTTTAAAGTGGAACTGTCACTTAATACTTTGCCTATTTTGGTTGCCATATTTGTAAGTCAATAAATCACATTATATAATTCCAATTCACAATCACCTCACTTATAGCTCTTTCAAGTTCTCTAACCCAAAAATTGTGAACAGGTATAAAAGGAAAAATAGATATTGTATACTCTCATTGTATAAAACAATGAGGGTTATTCTAAAAACATGTTGCATGTTTGCACCAGCTTTGTGTGAATGTGCCAGTTTCTGTAAATCTCCACCACTCCACCTTCATACATTTGTGACAGTTTTTTTCAGCCTTTTCTGTAATATGCCAAAACAGTCTGCCATTTTTTCAAATGTCTTTTTCAGATGTAAGGTCTTTTTCTCCTGCTGATTTTAAAATTGATTACATTCAGAAATTAAGAAAAGTGAGTTGCTAGAAAAAGAATACATTTGCAATTTGAAGGACTATTTTGATCTTTAAAAATAGAACACTGCACAAAATAATTTTCTGTTTCAGAGAATCAGTCAATCAAAAGTATATTTGACACAAAAAAGATCATCCTTGTGGTTCTTTATTTATTTATTTATTATTTTTTTTTTTTTAAATACACTGGGATTTCAAAATGGAACAGGAAAAGAATAATCAAGTGCAAATAGCAAGAGCACCGGATAAAAAGCCTAAAATCAAGCTTAGTAAAGAAATGGAATGGGCTTATAACTTGAAGACCCTCACCCCATTAGGTCTCAATATAGAATTTTACCTTTTTAATTTCTTGTAATCTTTTTTAAACAAAAGTAAAAAAAAGTTGTGTTTTTTTTTTTAGCTTTTATGCAACCCTCCTACTATAATTTTAAAATTACTTGATTATATAATTCACTGTATTTGTTATTATTTTTCTCAACTTATTTTAAGCATGTGTCTTTTTATACTTACCTTTAATGTATTATTGCATTTATAATTTATATTTCTGTGTATACATATATTATATTTTATTAATGTTACAGTTGTATCTATGTTTATAGTCTGTTCTAATGGCATTCACCTATGTTTACCTATTGGAATATGTTAGTGACCTCTGATGGGTTTCAAACTCATAGAGTGTATGTTCTTAGACTGATGCTCTTCTGGTGCAGCCACCTGCACCATATAAAGGGTTAGTATCCTTTTCTGAGTATTGACCCTGCTTTTCTGATCATAACACTTCCGCGTCACGTGATGTTATAATTTATATAATTTCTGACACTGTAAAACCTCGTTTTTTAATATTTTGTGTACAAATAATGCTTCTGACTTATATACTATATTTTAAACACTCTTATATTGATTTTTTATATTTTCCACATTTTTATTAAATTGTGTCCACTCCCATGACGCTGGTGACGTCATTTTGGCGGGAATTTCAATAGTTTTCTTATATAAGTGCTATATGTTAGGTCTGTTTTCTCTTTTAATAAGTTTCTACTTGATGAAGCCTATTGTGGCGAAACGCGTATAGGAACTTTTTATATAATCTAAGTGTTAATAAAGGAATATTTGGCTATTATACATTTGGTTGCCACATTCCTCTTTCCACCTTAGTATTATATTACCTTCTTTTAGTATAATTTTATTATTTTACTATTTGCAAGTTTATTTTATTCAGACCTGACTACTACTACCTTTTTGTCCATATTGGAGTACCAAGAATCCTAAAGTGGGGATTATACCACCCATACGCCATCCACCGAGCAGTACGTCTGCTCTATATACCGTGAGTATATTTTATTCTGTTTTTACATTTTATCAACTATACAGTGAGCACTATATATTTTATTCTTTTACCTCGAGCTGGACTACTCCACCAAAGTACTCTGCTAAAGAACAAAAGAGGAGCACCGTATATCCTTGCGTGGGGATTATTCCACTACGTGCCATTTATACCAGAGCTGGATTTAAGCTCTGAATATTGTGAGTAGTTCTACTATTCTATATACAATATTATTTACCGTTCATACTATACCATTGGAGTTTCCCTTGTCTTCTGTTTTCTTCACATATCCATTTTGAAGCTGCGGATATACATCTGGGACTTCACATACCATTTTATGTAGCACTAGGACTACCTCCTGCATATGTGGATTATTTATATTCAGACTTTCTAGGTATCGCTGCTCTGACTCTCTGATATATATTTTTATACATTCATTCTACTTGTCTTAGGCGCACCCTTATTTGTTCTTTTCTCTCCATTGTATTCCAAGGGGCTTAGAGGGGATTCCCCTTTTCCATAGGTGTGCTACCTTGCTGTCATATTCTCTGTTTTCCTATCAGCGCTGAACCTCCTTCCTGATCTTGATACTTATACATAGCTCCTACTATTCCCTCTGGAATACTTCTTATCCACCATGG